GTGTGGTTTCGTGATTCGAATTCGAAGGTCCTAATTGTTTTTGTCCTTCCATTGGGCTCTTAGTGGGTCACTAATAAGGCTATTAATGGGCCGAGTAGTAACGCGGCTGTTTCGAATGTTTAAATCATTGATTAGATGCAAAATTTTCCTCTAAAAACATGAAACGTAATAACTACTAACTAGAGAGGAAAAGATCACGTTCATAAGATCGTGGAAATATTTTAGTTTTCGTATATTTATTAATTTAACTTATTTGATTGTGCTCTGCTGTTACAAGATTTGCTGATCTATTTTTGTTGTCAGCGATTCAGCCAATTAAGATCTATACAAATCAGCTACATACATTATTTCGTTTTTATAATCACATTAGAATACAACGGATGATAGACAAGTCATATGCCGAAATGTAATAATAGTTTACACTTTACACAAAACATCACGTTTCTTTTTTTATAAAACTCATGTATATAAAATTGATTATATAACTCATTCATCATCCTCTCTTATTAATTATTCTCTTCTTCATACAGCTGTTTATATAGATAATTGATTAATTGACTTCTTCGTTTCACATGGTGAATATTTCAGATTTAGCTTTGGGTTTAACCAGATTCGATTCAGGTTTCTCGGTTAAGAAAAGCAAACCGATGAGAAATAAAAATTTGATTCATTCGGTTTAGGTGTTTGTGGCTTTGCTCCAGCATTTTTTGGGGTTTGTTAACGCTTTAGTTTGGTTTAGAGAAGCAAATCCGAAGAGATCATAAAAGACTAAGTGATTTTCCCGAGGATAAATTATTTATGTAGTTTTGTTTTTAATTTTAGTCTTTAAAAATGTCAAATATGTAGTTGCTTTGATTTTTTATTATAGACATTATTGTTGATTCTTTTGTTGTTAATTTTTTTGGTCAATAATATCGTTTTCATTAATAATATGAATTTCAGAAATTTAGTTTTATTATTTAATTATTTTATAGATGTGAACGTGTCAAATTGAAAATGTATAATAATTTAATAGTAGAGTTAAAAACATGTTAAATTTCGCTTGTCCGAATATCTTAAGTAAAATTTAGAATACAAATAAATTATTGAATATTTTAAAACATTAAAACATATAATCATAAATTTTATAAATGAAACATAGATTAAAACAAAAAAAAATTGATGATTTCGAATTAATTTTTTTTATTACTTTCAAATTATTTTGCATTAAAAAAATATTTCAAAAGAATAATTATATTCTTTGTTATGAAGTTGGAAAGTTTCCTCATTTTTCAATCTCTTTAATTGTTTGCACTTTTAATTCAAAGGCGGACTGTTTTGTCCGTTCCGCACGTTCTAGAATTATAGTTTTTTCTTTTGTAAACATCTTTCCGCCCAGATGGATTACCAATTACGGTGACATATTTTAATTAAGGTTTGGTTGCCAAAACAAAACAAAAAATTTGGAAAGATTTTTTCACAAACAAATTGAAATGTCTTTTAAAATTTGGCAAGTCTTTGTTATTATTTTCAAAAAGAATATATATTCTATAAAAATGTTCTGTAATTTTATTATTACAATAATCAATTTCTAAAATATTTTTAAATTAGAAACCAAATTTGTATATAAATTTAGAATTAAAAAAAAATTGATAATATATTGATTAAAAACTCTTTTTTTTATTTAAAGTAACAAATATAGATTTAGATGTAGAAGATTTTATTATTAATTAAAAATTGGTATGTCACAATTTTGTCAAGTCATGTCATAATTGTTTTGGTAAGAGTGACTGTGGAGATGACACATAAACATCTTCTCACAAATCACTCTCTAATTAATATATAAAGGATTGATCTCTTCGGTTAAGGGATTTTCCAGTTTCTATGGGTTAAAATTGGTTAAGCTTGTTTGTTTTTACCGTTTGATTCAGTTGCGTTTGATTTGGTCTAACCAAACCAAGAATGCCATACACACTTTTTAAATTTAAAATCTAAAAAGTTGACTTTTACTTACATTTTAAGAAGACAATGGAGCTCATTTGATCGATAC